AATGAAGCCAGTTGCCATTTTATATCTGGGATCATTGAAAGTTATCTGTAATCTCAACATAGCTTTAAGAAAGGAATGTTATAAGTATATTCTGAAGGACATGCACCCTCGATGTCTTGAGGTGTTTGAATTCATGAACTACACTTTTCTTAGTATAGATGTTTGCTTTTGATTAATAGCCTAACTTTTAATAGAATAATAGCTTATAAAGTTATATTAAATGCATAGAATAAAAAGACTAGTAAATACAGTATTATTCCATTCACATGAAAGCCTAAAATAGTAAAGTCTATAAAAGACAAAGATTCGTGGTTGCTTGGGATAGGGAAGTGGGAGGTGCAGAATGACAGCTAAAAGGTACAAGCTCTCCTTTTGAGGTGATTAAATGTTCTAAAATTGGCTGGTGGTGAACACACTTATCTGTGAATATACTAAAAATAATTGAACTATATACTTTAAATGAGTGAATTTTATTATATACTAGAGGCCCAGTGCACAAAATTTGTGTATCAGTAGGGTCCCTAGCGGCTGCCAGCTGCTGGCTCCTGGCCGGGACCCCCCTTCCCCCAACTGCCTGCAGCCACCACCGGCTGGGGCCTCCCTTCGCACCTGCCTTGGTCTGGCACCACCCACTCACCTGCTCCACCATCCGCCATGGTCCTGCTCTCATTGGGGCCGACAGCGCCTCCGCTGCCAGCGCTGCATCGCGAACACCCGCCATGTTCTGCACCGTCCCCTGGTGGTCAACACAGGTCTAACTAACTCCCGGTTGGTTGAACTCCTTCCCATGGGTACAATTTGCATATTAGCCTTTTATTATATAGGAAAGATGAATTGTATCTTGATAAAGCTGTTTTCAAATAGAAATTGAAGACAGTTTGTGTTCATATTTTCTCTCTCCAACCCATACCCCTTGAAACCTAGGATTCTAGTGAATTAATTTTGAATTAATACTTATTACCTAGAATTAAGTGATTATTACTTGCCAGTAGCTATTTTCTTTGTTATACCTCTTAGTTTATATTATGAAGAATGGCCTTGGCCATGTGGCTCAGTTGGTTGCAGCATCATCTCACACACCAAAAGATTACATGTTCGATTCCCAATCTTGGGGCACATACCTAGGTTGCTGGCTCAATCTGGTTGGGGCATGTATGAGAGGCAACTTATCTCTCTTTTTCTTTCTCTCTTTCTCTCCCTAAAAAATCAATAAAAACATATCCTCAGGTGAGGATTTAAAAATATATATCTATATATAATTTTGTTTTCTGTCACTATGAGAGTATATTTAATGCCCTAACATAAATATAGTAATATATACACTTGATATATATATATACATATATATATACAGGAATGGACAAATGTAGGTTTACACTAATTTGTATGGAAAATAATACAATAATTAATAAATAATAGTACACGAGTAAATCCTGTGCTTCATGTACTCACAACTGTAAATGTACTTTTGCCCCCACCCTGTACACGTTAATACTCTTTGGGTAGTGAGATACAAGTGTTCTCTTTCGTCTTCCTTCTAGTCTATATTTTTCAAGTTTTCAAATTGAGCTACTTTTATGCTGGATAAAAATAGATATGTACATATTCTTCAGTTAATCAGAAAATGTTTAGTAAACTTTCCATATATGTGGAGTCAGCATATATATTTTCCTAGGCTTGGTTGTTGGGTAAGAAAATTATTACGTACTTTGTCACTAAAGGCAGGGACCATGTCTTTTAAAATTGTGTAGGCTATGATACCTACCATGTGCCTTATACATAGAGAGGCCAAGAAAATAACTGTTGAATGAACACAGAAGCCATTATTCCTAGCTTGGAAGAAAATAATTATATTTTATTGGTTGTAAAGCTTTGGGTTTAGAGTCCTCACACTGGTCTTGGTACACTTCTCTGCTTGTTTATTAACTCACATTCAATGGGCAAGTTGTATCTATTCTGTCTCTTAAATCTAGAATTAGTAATTTACTATCAGTGATTCTAGAATTAATAATAGTAAAACCAATTATGTTTCCTAAAATAATAAGAAAAGTAGAATGGACAAAAAACACACAATATAAATCAAAGCACTAAACAGTAATTTAAAAATTCAGCCCTTGCTAATTCACTATTTGATTGTCAGACAGTCTAAATGTATATTAGACATAACAGGTACTAAAGCAATATTTGGCAACAAATGAAAGAAATGTTATTGATTAAAGAATTTTAAGTAATATCTTGAAAATCTACATGGGAAGAAATTATGAGTAAATGGAAGCTAGACTAAAATCAGTGCCTTTTCTAACCAAGACCCAATAAATTAAGGATTTCTTCAATGACTTTGAATTTGTGATTTTCGAAGGCCCAGCAACTCTTATAAATTAAAGAACTTTTATATTTCTAACACACTATTATATAACATAAATTATAATTTTTCAGTAGCTTTTATTTTATTTAATATAGTAACTTAGTTTAATAGGTTTTACATGAAAGTAATTTTCAGCCCTGACTGGTTTGGCTCGTGGATAGAGCGTCGGCCTGCAGACTGAAGGGTCCCAGGTTCGATTCCAGTCAAGGGCATGTACTTTGGTTGTGGGCACATACCCAATAGGGGGTGTGCAGGAGGCAGCTGATGGATGTTTCTCTCTCATTGATGTTTCTAACTCTCTATCCCTCTCCCTTCCTCTCTGTAAAAAATCAATAAAATATATATATATATATATATATATATATATATATATATATATATATATATATTTTGAATGTCCATTCACCTTTATTAGAGGAAACCCTGCACTGCAACTGCTTTCAATAATGTAAGCTCTGTCCCACTCAGTGCCTGCTGGGCTCAGACGATCATTTCCAGCTGCTGGGCATACTCGATGACCTGTTTGGCCAGCTCCGTGGAGGGGATGGTGGTATCTTCTGGTTTCTGGGGCTGGCTGGCAAAGCTGTAGTAGTTGTTGAGGCCCAGGACCCACCCTCGCTTTTTGGCATAGTCTGTCATCTTTTTGGGTGTGTTGAAGAAGAGGATCCGAGTGGCCTCAGTAAAGAGGATTTTCTCGTAGGCCTTCTCGATGCATCCAGCAATCTCATCTCTGATAGTGCCAAGCAGGATGTCGATGAAGAAGGTATAACTCTCGGCAGGGATGTTGCCTTTGGCCAGGAACACCTTGTTGTAGCTGCCCTCCATTAGGTACTGCTCAAGGGACACAGGATGCTTAATGTATACGTTGGTCTAGATGTCCTTGACAGGCAGCCGCTCCAACTCCGTGTGGAACTCAACCACCCGGTTTTGTAATCGAAGTAGTAACATTTGAGCTGGGCCATGTAGCGCTCGAAGGAGGGGATATCCTTGCATAGGATACTCCACTGGGCGCCAATCTCCAGTTTATCACGGGCCATAATGAGCTGCTGTTTGGTCAGTTTGGTCCCTGTGGTTGGCAGGAAGTTGAGCTCCAGCAGAACCAGCTTGAGACGGCCCAGCTCTTCCCCACACTTGCTGAGGTTGGGGCTTTTACGGTTCCACTCGCCCTTGAGCTGCTCGTACATGCCGGCCGCAGCCTGCAAGACCGCGCTCGAGGCCGCCGAAGGCCCCGTGGTAGAGGAGCCCACCCCGGCGTTCAACGCTGCAGCTGCCATCTTCCGTGATGCGGCAAACCGCCGCGCCTAAAATATATTTTTTTAAAAAAGAAAGTAATTTTCAGACTTTTCCTTATGAAGGACTGACTATAGGCAAGCTCACCAAAGTACTAGATTTACTAAAAATCCAAGTCTAGACTTTTAAGAGGAGTTCATATGCACACAAGACATGTGGGGAATGAAAAGAATGGGGGTAAATTCATTGACTGGAAAGTGGGCTAGAAGATGGAAGATGACATTTACATTCCTTTGGGAGAAAGAAAATTCCAATGAAAGGTAGCAGTCTCAGCAGAAGCATGACATGGAAAGGTTGGCGGAGTCAAAGACCAACAAGTGGTTAACATATAAATGCGAGAAGTCCATCAGAAGGCTGATGGACTTTGATATTCAGCAAGGGCTGAGAATCAGCATAATATTACCTCCTACTGGCTAAATGACTGAAGGCAATCCCCTAACCCATTGGTCAGCAAACTGTGGCTCACGAGCCACATGCGGCTCTTTGGCCCCTTGAGTGTGGCTTTCTGCGCATCGGCCACGAAGTTTCAATTGCACTGTACATGTGCGCTCGCACGTGATATTTTGTGGAAGAGTCACACTCAAGGGGCCAAAGAGCCGCTGTGGCTCACGAGCTGCAGTTTGCTGACCACTGCCCTAACCTGATAATCCTTTATTGTTTACCAAACCTTACCATTGAAATGACTGTTTGCTTTGCTAAAGGGCAAATGTGTATTCTAGTCTAATAAATAAAAAGCTATGGGTCCCGAGATTCAGGGAGTCACTCCACTAGAGAGTAAGAGCTCTGCCTGGCTTCCCCCATGCCTTCTAAATTTATATTTCTTGTCTAGTATATCTGTGCGCAGCCCCTTCTCCAGATCTTGAATCCTCACTGCAAAAGGTTGCGGCACTATCTAGTCTAGCTACTTACAAACTTTTAAAGTAAGAAGAACCCTTTATTTGAATGAAAACTTAGGTAGAATGCTATTATATAAATTTGCAAAAGCTGAGCTGTTTTGGTTGATACAGGGTTTGGAGTATATAGGAACAAAACCCCATCTTCCTTAGCCTCCCTGTCTCTATCCCAGTGGACTCTAGGGAACACAGTTTTTAAAAAATCTAGTTTATGCTTATTTAAAAAAAACAACAACAGCCTGGCTCCAATGGAAACTGATCATTGGACAGGTGTTAGACATTAATTTGTAGAAAAGAAGCATTTTCCTCAGATTTAAAAAGATGGACATTGTTTTTCTTATCCCTTACAAAAAAGTGTTTCACTATTGAGATCATCAGTTGGAAGAATCACTCCACTTACTTGAGATTCTTCTTCCCTTGACCCTCTTGGGGTCTGGTTTTGTGTTTTTTAGCTCTTGAATGTGGTCTCTCAACTAGCCAAGCAAAATCTTCGAGTGTTGGTCCTGGGCCGGAAGCATATGACAGTACAGCGTGCCCGGTGGAGAAAGGATGAGATGGAAAAGGTGCAAAAGCAAGCCAGCTGTTTCTTTGCTGACAACATGTAAGTATTGAAGGTAATAATTGAATTACACCAGGCTCCTGTCATCTGTTTGTTAATTATCTATTTTTGCCATTTTTTTTAAGTGTATACGTATGTATACTCAGTCTCATTAAAAAAAAAAAAAAAGATTTGAGGCAGCTTACAAAAATAGTTTCTACAGCAGAGTAAATTTAACTAGATTAGATTAAGGAATCAGGATGAAGGAAGAATGGAAGAAAGATATAGTCAGAAGTGACATTATTACACAGAATGCTATAAGGTCCTAAATAGATCATTTAACAAATACTGTACAAACATGAGCACTTTCTGTGTTCTTGGAGAAGAGAACAAGACTAACAAGTCTCTGATGTTGTATGACTTATAGTAAACAGGTAAACAAGTTATATAATTCCAGGCTCAATGCTATGAAGACTAAAGCAGAATAAGTAGATAGCAAGGAATTAGTTAAGGGTAGGTCAGCAGGGAGTGGCTGCAATAGTCAGGAAAGGCCTTTGGGAGGGGGCAAGTCTGAAGGAAATCAGTGAGTCATTTGAGAAAAGGGAAGGGGTGGTGGGAAGAACATACCAGGTAGAGGGAACATCAAGTGTTCAAAAAGCAGGAATGAGTTTGGCATGAGGAAGGCAAGCAGGCCAGTATAGATGGGCTGTAGCAGCAAGAGAGAAAGTGGTAAGTTCTGAGGTCAGAGAGAAGGCAGAGACCACATTACAAAGGAACTCATGGGCTCTGATAAACAAGCAAAGGGCCTGGATATTATTCTAAATATCAAAGGAATGTTATTATGGGCTACAGCTTCTTAGGAAGCCAAAGGAGTATGGAAAACATGGTCAACAACAATATGAACAGTATCCATAAAGTGAGGAGAATGAAGCTAATCAGAAGGAGACAGATCCTCAGCAGCATAAATGAACTTTAACATGCATTTAATTTTTCATACTATATGCTGACAAAGTCTGTTTCCAACTTTGCATGGATAATGTGTGTGCCGCAGCCCAAGTCTAGGTTTCATTAGGTTGAATGTGATAACTTCAAGATATGTCAGTATTCCTCAAACCATTTATTCTGTTCTTATTTTTATAACTTTTATTAGAAATATTTTTTAAATGTGCTGCCTGATCTTTTTTCTTTTTTTAAATATCTTTATTATTGAGAGTATTACAGATGTCCCTGCCTCCTCTTAAATTTCCCCCCATTGCCCTCCTCCACTCAATCCCATGCCGCCTCAGGCCTTCACCACACTATTGTCTATGTTCATGGGTAATGCATATAAGTTCTTTAGTTACTCTCTTCCCACCCCCCCTTCCCTCTGATTCTCAATCTGTTTCACGTTTCCATGCCCATGATTCTATGTTATTCACCAATTTATTTTGTTCATTAGATTATTTGTTCATTTATTTTGGTTTTTAGATTCAATTGTTGATAGATACGTATTTATTGCCATTTTATTGTTCATATTGTATGTCTTTTTTCTTCTTTTTCTTAAGGAAGACACTTTAACATTTCTTGTAATACTGGTTTGGTGATGATGAACTCCTTTAGCTTTTTCTTTTCTGGGAAGCTCTTTATCTGACCTTCAATTCTAAATGATAGCTTTGCTGGGTAGAGTAATCTTAATTGTAGGTCCTTGCTTTTCATCACTTAATGAGGGGTCCTTAAACTACAGCCTGCCGAAAACATTTATCCGGCCCACCGGGTGTTTTTGCCGTCGCTGTGTGCATAGGAATTTGTTCATAGTTTTTTTTTTTAAACTATAGCCCGGCCCTCCAACGGTCTGAGGGACAGTGAACTGGCCTCCTGTTTAAAAAGTTTGAGGACCCCTGACTTAAATATTTCATGCCACTTCCTTCTGACCTGCAGTTTCTGTTGAGAAATCACCTGATAGTCGTATGAGCACACCCTTATAGGTAACTGACTGCCTTTTTTTTTTTTTTTTTTTTTTTTTTGCTGCTCTTAAGATTCTCTCTGTCTTTAACCTTTGCCATTTTAATTATGTGTCTTGGTGTAGACCTCTTTGGGTTCATCTTGTTTGGGACTCTGTATTTCCTGGACTTGTATGTCTATTTCTTTCACCAGGTAGGGGAAGTTTTCTGTCATTATTTCTTCCAATAGGTTTTCAATATCTTGCTATCTCTCTTCACCTTCCAACACCCCCATAATGTGAATATTGGTGTGCTTGAAGTTGTCCCAGAGGCTCCTTACACTATCTTCATATTTTTGGATTCTTTTTGCTCTTCTGATTAGGTGTTTTTTTTTGCTTCCTCATATTTCCAAATCGCTGATTTGATTCTTTGTGTCTCTACTGTTGATTCTCTGTAAATTAGTCTTCATTTCAGCTAGTGTAGCCTTCATTTCTGACTGGTCCTTTGATGTTCTAAGATCCTTGAAATTCTCACCAAGTTCCTTGACAGTCTCACTAATATCCTTGAAGCTCTCATTAAGTTCCTTGAGCCTCCTTATGACCATTGTTTTGAACTCTGTATCTAGTAGTTTGCTTGCTTCCATTTCATTTAGTTCTTTTTCTGGAGATTTCTTCTGTTCTTTCATCTGTGACATGTTTCTTTGTCTCTGCATTTTGGCTGTTTCCCTGTGTTTGTTTCTATGTATTAGGTAGAGCTACTGTGTCTTCTGGAATTGGTAGAGTGGCTTTGTGTAGTAGGTGTCCTTTAGGGCCCAGCTGCTCAGTTTCCCCACTCACAGGGTGTGCCCCTGTGTGGTCTGTGGGCACAGTCTTGTTGTAGTTGAGCCTTGATTGCAGTTGCCATCACCAGGAGGAATTGACCTCCAGGCCCATTGGCTGTGAAGATCAGCTGTGACTACAGTGTAAAAGCTGCTGTTTAGGAGACATCCCTGTGGAGTAGGACTTGCTTTAGTGGGGCTTTGGTGCTCACTGAGTCTGCCCTTGAGTGTGTCGCTTGTGGATTTGGTACGAGTTATAATCTGATATGGTCTGAAGCTGTCCACCGGATGCACTGGCTCTGGTGCCTCCTGAGAAGTGCAGAGTCAGCCACTACCTGTTCCCTGCCGGGGGCCACCTGGTATGAGCTACAGAGTGATCGATCTACAGGTGACTGCTACTTGTGTTGGGCTAGGAGGTGCCCAGGAGAGGCCAATCTGTGAACCTTGGCAACCTGCTGCTAGTGGGAGAGTCCAGTTGAGCAATTAAGAGTCCCAAGCAGCATTTCCTTCCCCTTACTTCTCAGCTGTGTTCTAGATAGTGTTGCCTATCAGCTAAGATCATTCCTAAGTATCACTGAGATTATGTTGGTTACGAATGCAGAGGACCTCTGAGGAAAGTACAGTCCTATCTAATAATAGGCAAACATGGTAATTAACCGTACCTCCGACATGCTTCCCATTGGCTAATCAGGGTGATATGCAAATTAACTGCCAACCAAGATGGCGGCCAGCAGCCAGGCAGCTGAGGCGAACAGGAGGCTTGCTTGCTCCAGTGAAGGAGGAAGCCAAGGTTCCCCATCTGCTACTGCCGGCCTCTGAGCTTGCAGTCTAAGAAACAATGTTGCAATTATAGAAGCTAAACAAACCCCATGCTTTCAGCCAGCCGGCTGAGCTGGAGTTGCAACAGTGTTTCAATTATAGAACCCAAACAAACCAAATACCTGCTTTCAGCAGCCAAGGTCTCAGAGCTGGAGCGGAGCCTCAGAGCTAAAGCTGGCTCTCAGTTCCAGTGACAGCCATAGAAGATAAATAAATCCCAGAATTAAAAAAAAGAAAAAAAGGAGAGGTTGGGAGCTTCAGTCACCCGCCAGCCTGAAAACGGCCCTCAGCCCCTCACCCAAACTGGCCAGGCACCCAAGTGGGACCCCCACCCTGATCCAGGACACCCTTCAGGGCAAACCAGCCGGCCCCCACCCATGCACTAGGCCTCTATCCTATATAGTAAAAGGGTAATGTGCCTCCCAGCACTGGGATCAGCAGAGCCGCGAGGCCTCCCAGCACCAGGATCAGCGGAGCAGCAAGGGCTCACTGCCCCTGTGTCAAGCGGAGCCACGAGGCCTCCAGCACCAGGATCAGAGGAGCAGCGAGGCCTCCTGGCCCCTGGAGCAGCGTGACAGGGGGCAGCGCCCAAACCCCCTGATCGCCCTGCGGCTCTGTGTGTAACAGTGGGCGGGGCCAAAACCTCCCTATCCGCCCTGCTCTGTTCCTGACAAGGGAAGGTGCCCCAACCCCCTGATCGGCCCTGCTCTGTGCCTGATAGGGGGGAGCTCCCCAACCCCCTGATCGGCCCTGCTCTGCGTGTGACAGGGTGCGGCGCCCCAACCCCCCATGGGCCCTGCTCTGTGTGTGACGGTGTGGAGCCACAACCTCCCCATGGGCCCTGCTCTGTGTGTGACGGGGTGGAGCCACAACCTCCCCATCGGTCCTGCCCTGAGTGTGACAGGGGGAGTGCCCCAATCCCCTGATCCGCCCTGCTCTGTGTGTGACAGGGGGTGCTGCCCCAACTTCCCTATCGGCCCTACTCTGTGCATGACAGGGGGGAGCTCCCCAACCCCCTGATCGGCCTTGCTCTGTGTGTGACGGGGGAGCTCCCCAACCCCCTGATCGGCCCTGCTCTTTGCGTGATAGGGGGCAGCGCCCCAACCGCCTGATCAGCCGGCTCTGTATGTGATGGGGGTGGGGCCGCAACCTCCCCATCAACCCTGCCTTGAGTGTGACAGGGGGCGGCGCCCCAACCCCCCAATCAACCCTACCCTGAGCGTGACTGGGGGTGGCATTGCAACCTCCCAATCTGCCCTGCTCTAAGCCCGACCAGGGGCTGCACCTAGGGATTGGGCCTGCCCTCTGCCACCCGGGAGCAGGCCTAAGCCAGCAGGTCATTATCTCCCGAGGGGTCCCAGACTGTGAGAGGGCACAAATGGGGCTGAGGGATACCGCCCCCCCCCCCCCCGCCAGTGCACAAATTTTTGTGCACCAGGCCTCTAGTAAGAAATAAAAACCAAACAGCATGGATGGAACTGGAGAGCATTATGCTAAGAAAAATAAGCCAGTCAGAGAAAGATAAATATCACATGATCTCACTCATATGTGGGATATAATGATCAACAAAATTCGATGAACAAGAATAGATCCAGAGACAAATGGCAGGGGAGGGGGGGTGGTTAGAGAGCAACCAAAGGACTTGTATGCATGCATATTAGCGTAACCAATGGACACAGACACTGGGGCTGTGGGGACTTGCCTGGGGTGGGAATGGCTGGCGGGGGCGGGGGGTCAATTGGGGAAAAAGGAGACTTATGTAAAACTTTAGATAATAAAAATAATAATAATTTTTTAAAAAGAAAAAAGAAATAAAAAACATGGTGAAGAATGCTATCCTGTGCCTCCTCAGTGGTGTGCTTGATTGTGTCTCCTCTTTTGTCTGACTCAGCTCAGAGGATGATCCGTTCCTTCTGTATGCCACACTGCACTCAGGGAATCACTGCAAGTTTATCACAAAAGATCTGCTGCGGGACCATAAGGCCTGTCTACCTGATGCCAAGACCCAGCGCCTGTTCTTTAAGTGGCAGCAGGGACATCAGCTGGCAATTATTAATAGGTTTCCAGGATCAAAAATAACTTTTCAGGTATGTCATCTGTTCTTTACATAATGTCAACAGAGTCAAGTACATAGTAAGAATGTGACATAAGCAAAGAATGTTGCAATCCTAAGTGCTTTATTTTTCTCAGTTTAGTTTGATATTTGGAATTAGCCAGTTCCTGGAAACAGAAAGTCTGCTAGAGCAAAAGTTCTTATAGGCCAACCCCACATTAATTGACATATTGAAAACACCTGGGATATCATCAATTAGGCTCTAATTATGTTATCAAATACAAATATTCATACATGGTTTTTATTTTCTTATTTATTTGTAATAACTCAAAGTTGTTTATCCCTATGGTTCTTCATACTTCTACTTTTGCTAAGTAACTCCATTTTCCTGGTTAATCCACTCCTACAGGTTGGTTTCAATTGAATTCTCTTTTGATTCTAGTTTAGATGCCTGTAAACACAAGAATGTCTCTTGTGTGAAAACAAAGGGAGAAAATCCAAAGGCGAGTTATTACAGAAAAATACAATAGCCAGTGGTAAATGTGCTTTAATGGTCAAAAAATATACTAAACAAATTTATAGGAAGTAGAGTATCAAGTGATACCACAGAGATGCAATCAGCATAATCAAGACTGTAGGAAATAATAGAACAGCTGACCTAATTTCCTCAACAACAAAAAATTACCAAAATAATGGAGATGGGAAGGGAAGCTGTAGATTAAAAGAGAGCTGAGAGGCAATTCAGCCAGTCACAATGTAATAGCCTTATTTCAATCCTTGATCAAACAAACTGTAAAACATAGGTATACACATAATAATTGGAAATCTAAACAGAAATTTGATATTGTTAAGGAATTATTAATTCTTAAGTGTAAAAATGGCTTTAATCTTATATTTACAAAATAAGTCCTTATCTTGAATTACAGAAGAAATTATATATCTGCAGTTTGCTTCAAAATAATCTTGGGTGAGGATAGAGGCAGAGGAAAGGAAGTGGGTGGAGTATGGATGAAATAAAATTAGCCTTGGGTTGATAATGGTTGAAGTTGGGTGATGGGTACATGGGAGTTCGTGATACTATTTCTCTATTTTTGTATATTTGACTTTTTCTCTGTCACATATAAAACTGGTAAAGGCAACAAAGGGAATACTGTATTGTGTGTGTGTGTGTGTGTGTGTGTGTGTGTGTGTGTGTGTGTGTGTATAGAGCAGTGATGGCGAACCTTTGAGCTCCGCGTGTCAGCATTTTGAAAAACCCAAACTTAACTCTGGTGCCGTGTCACATATAGAAATTTTTTGATATTTGCAACCATAGTAAAACAAAGATTTATATTTTTGATATTTATTTTATATATTTAAATGCCCTTTAACAAAGAAAAATCAACCAAAAAAATGAGTTCACATGTCACCTCTGTCACCTCGTATCATAGGTTCGCCATCACTGGTGTAGAGGGTCCTTAACCTTAAAAATGAAGCACCCCAAAAAAGAAACTCCTAATACCTGGGTTCATTTTTACAGAGCTAGCTGCTCTTTGAAAATCCATTGTTAAGACAAGGAATATGTCCCTGAAGCAAAGTTAGAAGTAGTCAGAGAAGAAAGGGAAATAGCCCAGCCAGCGAGGCTCAGTGGTTGAGAATCAGACCTATGAACCAGGAGGTCATGGTTCGATTCCTGATCAGGGCACATGCCCACGCTGGGGTCTCGATCCCCAGTGTGGGGCATGCAGGAGGCAGCCAATCAATAATTCTCATCATTGATGTTTCTATCTCCCTCTTCCTTCCTCTGTTAAATCAATAAAAAAATATATTTTTTTAAAAGGAAAGGGAAATAGCTAGGTATCCCTTTAGTGTTGTTCTTAATGTTTGGTTCCCTTTTTAATTCAACAGCATATTCCCAGCTATGACACGGTGGTGCAAACAACTGGAGACTCGTGGCACATACCGTATGATGAAGACCTGGTGGAAAGATATTCCTATGAAGTGCCAACCAAATGGCTTTGCCTTCACCGAAAGACATAATGACTTTTGTCCCCATGCTAAATTTGTATTGGGTGCCCTCCTGGTTGGCATCAGAGCTCTTAAGTTGATGCTTGTTTAGACCATTGCTTCTCTCCTGCTCTGTTTGTTCCAGTTGGTTTGTATGTCAACAAATTGATTTTTTAATTAAATAAATTATATCTTTTCACAATCCATTGCTTTTTTAAAATATATTTTTATTGATTTTAGAGAAAGAGGAAGAGAAACATCGATGAGAGAGAAACGTAGACCAGCTGCCTCCCTCATGTCCCCCACTGGAGGTTGAGCCTGAAACCCCCAACCGAAATTGAACCAGCAACCTCTGGGATGCTCAACTGACTGAGTCACACTGGCCATATATTCATATATTCATTCATTCATTCATTCATGCATTCATTCATTCATTCTTAACTAGAGTTAGGGAACTTAGTGAGGAGTGAAGCCTATGTTTGTCTTACTGGGCCATCTGTTTCCCTTGCTTAGGAAGCAGGTGCTTCTGGTATTTCGCTGCTCCTGACCTCACCTCCACCAATAGCAGAACATGCCTTTTCCAAATCTGTTCAAACTTCTGTGAACACTGTTAATTCCATCACTTGCTTTGAGGGCTTCTCTTCATTTAATTAAGTTTGACTTAGTTTAACTAAGTGATTACGTTTAGTAGTTGCCTCTCTGTTTTATCCCTTTGCTAGCCAGTTGATACCACACTGGGCCTTGATTTTAGCTGGAAATAATCATGTCTGCAGCACTTTATTTTAGTTTTTTCCTTATTCCTACATACCATATGATTTAATATTTAAGAACAGGCAAAACCAATCTATGGTAAAAATCAGAATAGTAGGCCCTGGCTGGTGTGACTCCGTTGACGGTCGTCCCATGCAGGAAGAGATCACTGGTTCCATTCCTGGTCAGGGCAGATTTCCCCAGTAGGGGATGTGGGTAGGAGGCAGCCAATGGATGTTTCTCTCTCTCTCTCTCTCAAAACAAAAAATCAATAAAAACATTTTTGAAAAATCAGAATAGTAGTTGCCTGAGGAAAGGGGCACAAGAAAACTTTCTAGGGGTGATGGGAAGTTCTCGGTGATGCTGTCACAGGAATATATATATATATATATGAATATATGAATATATATGTCAAAATTCATTACAGTAAACACTTAAAATTGATGCATTTACAACAATGTGCCTCAGAAAAATATGTTAGCATAAGAAAATAACTATTACATGAAAAAATGACCTTGTTTACATAAAACAATATACATGGATATAAGTAGGATGTATATTATGGACAGAAAGACAATCAATCAGGAAAAACAGAGGAGGGGATGTTTCATTTCCTTAACTATTTACTGGATTCAGCACTGCTGCACACCTAGACTAAAGAACTCTCCATGAAAGTATTTGATAAATAAGAGCATTGAAAGATTCTGAGAACAGAAAGCTCTCATAAATCCAATGTTTATTTTCTAAATTTCATAAACTACATACTTAGAAAACTGTGCTTTCAGTGAGCTAAACCTTTTTTAAGGAACTATCCTAATCTTAAGAAAAATTAAAAAAAAAAAAAAAAAGGCAGCTCTCGCTGGTTTGGATATCAGCCTGCAGATTGGAGTTCAGGCTTCAATTCTGATCAAGGGCGAGTGCCCAGGTTGAGTGCTCCATCCCCAGTGTGGGGCATGCAGGAAGCACCCAACCAATGATTCTCTCTCATAATTGATATTTTTTAAAGCATTTGTTAAATAAGCTTGTCTGAAAGCCTAATCAAATGTCTCACAAGGAACACAGAGATGGGAGAGGATACAAAAAGAAGCTAGAACTTTAGAGCAGGAGTGAACCTTGAAGAACATTAAGCTCATTTTATAAAGGAAGAACAGACCCAGAAAGATGGAAAGTCTTCCTTGGGTCCCACAGCTAGTTCGTGAAGCTATTTCAACCATAACCCACCTCCTTTGATTCCTAGCTAACTATTCTTCCTTCTTTGCACTGATTTAGGCTAGAGTGGTTCATAAAAACAGACTGAATGGTAGAGCATCCAGTATTTATATTAGAAACTTTGTTAGCCACTTAAGAGTAAGGGAGAATGAGAGGAAGGCAACCGGAAGTACCTCTTTAAGGCCCCTCATTTCCAGAATGGCTGGCAGTGTAGACAATTGTGATAGAGAAATTGCATTATTTTTTAACTCTTTAATAACATTGAGAAATAAAACCCTTGCCCTAACCGGTGTGGCTCAGTGGATAGAGCGTCGGCCTGTGGACTGAAGGGTCCTGGGTTCGATTCTGATCAAGGACATGTACCTTGGTTGCGGGCACATCCCCATTGGGGGGCGTGCAGGATGCAGCTGATCAATGTTTCTCTCTCATCAATGTTTCTAACTCTCTATCCCTCTCCCTTCCTCTCTGTAAAGAATCAATAAAATATATTTAAAAAGAAAAAGAAAACCCTAATTTCTGCTTGAGGTAAATTAAGGTGCATCTGTTCTTTGTCCAGCGGTGGAGGAACCATCCTAGGACCACAAACTAAATCTAACACAGGAACCTGGGGAGTGCAGGGGTTCTCTGAACAAAGGTGACTGGCAACAAACACATAAGCTGCCTTTATGTATTCTGGTCACCTGAGTCAAACAGGCTACCTGTCACGCAAGGTCCAAGACACAATGCAAAGATTAAGTTTTTTTAAAATGCGGTCCTGGGAATTGAAAGTGTCTTTAAAGTCAGCCATAAACAAAGGTTTTGAAAAGGCACTGTGCTTCGCTCTGGCATGCTTCTGAATTTATACTGTTCTTTCCTCCTGCTGTTCTCAGACCCAAAAAAGAGGAAATCTCAAAGGAGAAGACTGAGTTTATTCTCTTAGGGGACCTTCAGGACTACCTTACCTCAGCTGCCTTGTTCTTCACTTGAAATTAACTTTTCGAGTTTGCACTGAAGTATAATTAGTGCTTCCTTGGTCCTCTAGCAGGTTTCTAAAGGGTGTCCCAAAATTCACGCAAAAGTAATTTTGATAGAAAACACAGGTTTATAATAAAATTGTAAATTTTTTTATGAATTCATAAAGTATACAGTATAGGGTTATGAATGGAATAGCATATCGGGTAAATGGCCTCCACGGCTTTGCTGGCACATACACACTCTTTTGTTGAAATTTTCCATGACCATTTTGTATAAATGTGGCTGAATTTTGATGAGGCTCATTTTCATCTTGATGGCTTGGTTAATCGACAAAATTGTCACATTTGGGGTTCAGAAAATCCACGAGTGATTGTTGAGAAACAAATGCATCCACAACATGTCACTGTTTGGTGCAGATTTGGAGCTGGAGACATCATCGGACCATTCTTCTTCAAAAACGCGGCTGTTCAGGCAATAACAAAAGAGTGCATATGTGCCAGCAAAGCCGTGGAGGCCATTTACCTGATATGCTATTCCATGCATAACCCTGTACTGTATACTTTATGAATCAATAAAAAATTTACAATTTTTAATTATAAACCTGTGTTTTCTATCAAAATTACTTCTTGCGTGAATTTTGGGACACCCTTTAACTATTTTTCAAAACTGTCCTAAGGTACTATGAAATGTATCATATGTGTTCACATTAGGTTTCTCTTTCCTTGATAGTTTCATTCTAAAGCAGGTGTGGAAAGGCTGGGTGTGTTGTGTAGGCACCTTAATTCTGGTCCATCATGGTGAGTCTTATCTTCATTTGCTAAAAATCAAAACTATTGGGGTAATTGAGGGCAAAGCAAAATAGGGTCCAGGTCTGGTGTTTTGCCCATCCTTCAGCAATTTGGAATTCACAGAGTGAAACACTTCTAAGGGAAACCCTTGGTGGAATGACTGGGTGTATAGGAACATGGACCACTGTGATGAGATGGTGGTATTTAGATCTGGGTATTCTTTCCAGAATGGCACTTACACAGATAGAGTTCTCAGCAATAGGGACCAGGCAGCTGCTGGAGCCTCCTGTGGCCCAGGGGGAGAGCAGGGTTGCCAGATAATATATAGTACTCCCAGTTAAATTTGAATTTCAGATAAATAACCATTTTTTAGTATAGATAGGTCCCAAGTATTGCAAGGATATGTACTAAAAATATGAATTGTCTCTCTGAAATTCACATTTAACTGGGCATCCTGTATCTTTTTATTTGCCAATTCTAGCAACCCTAGGTGGGAATTATATGGAAGGGGAATGGAAATGGAGCATCTATATAGCCCAGCAGTTCTGCAGGAGGCAGGAGGGGAGCAAGGATAAGAAAAGAAGGGAGGAGGAAGAAAGGAGAGAAGACGAGCTTTTTCCTGCCTTGTCCTAGTCAATGATAAGCCGTCTGCTTGCTTCTATGCTATGTAAACAAAGAACGTTCCACTAAGAGATCTACTTAGAGGAAACCATAGAAAACAGTGGGGTGAAAGAAAATATGAGACAGGGACACCAAAGAGTAAGTGTAGGAAGTCTTGAGAAAGGATCTTTAATTTTCTCGTACCATGTCTATTTTACGGTGTTTCGGGATTCCCTTGAAGCCCTCTCTCCCCAAGTTTGTTCTTTGTTGACAATATTTGATCTGACAGATGCTTCCAGAGACTCAACATACACAACTGGCTTTCAACTAGGAATTGAAATAAACAGGAAGATAATTATCTAGTCACTGATGGCAGCTAAAAATAATTTTGCTACTAGAGTATTCTCAGAAGTGCACTATTATCAAGTAGATTATGTTATTAAGATAACCATGATAATTCGTTATGAATAGCAGTGTCCTATGAAGGTTTTTTGGTAGCTTCTGACAAGAAATTTGATGTACAGAGTTCATTTCAACCACATTAAAATGACTACCCCAGTCAGCTCTTTGATGTTTGTTAAAGTCCAGCCCAAGAAGCAAATATTTGAGAAATCACTGGTAGGGGGCTTTAATTTCTAATCCTAATATATAAAAAGCCAGGCGCTGTCATGACTGAACAGCACGCTGCATGGGGCAATAGGCCAGCAGGGGGATTAGTGAGGGACAGCCAAATGACTGAACAGCAGCCTGCATGGGCGACCAGGCCGGCAGAGGGGGCAGTTGGGAGCCACCAGGCAGGGGGGGGGGGGGGGGGGGGAGTAGTTGGGAGTAGGGGCAACCAGACTGGCAGAGGGGGGCAGTTGTGGGCTACCAAGCTGGCAAGGGAGGCAGTTAGGGGCGA